GATCATTCCCACCCCGTCCATACACAGAGTAGACAGGGATGGGCAACTTGGACATTGGCTACCCAAAATGGGGGGGAGGGCTACAAAGGCAAGAAGTGATTGGCTTACAAGCTTTCAAGAGGGAACCTAGATCCAGAGGGCATGGAGGAAGGTAAAATATCTACTGAATAGTATCCAGTCTGTCTAGGCGGTGCTGATAAAAGGAAATGAGGATAGGTCTCTTGTGATACAATAGTGAATAATTGTTATCAGGACTGATTGTGAGGGTTGGAAATGTAAAGTAGATGGGGAGTAATTAACTTTTCAGTCTAGGAGCGGAGGTCCCTGGAACCATCAAGGGAGAAGAGCAGAGAGCGGGACCCTACCCAGAGAAGCAGTGATGCCAGAGATGGAGGCACAGGCAATGACGTGGAGAGATGAAGGGAGTGGCTGGGGACTTTAGATCCAGAGAGGGAGAGGGGCTGTGTGCTGAAGACCGGGGGTGCAGGCTTGTAGTGTATATACCCTTTGGTTGGTTGGTTGGGAATGTAACCATGGCAATGAAACCATATACGATAGAATGAATGTAAAACTAATGTTCTCCCATGTAAACTATCACATAATTCACAATAAAACATTAATAATAATAATAATAATAATGCATTATAAAAAAAGAGAATGGGAGAGAATCAGTCTGTGTTAGAAGTACAGCCAGAATGCTCCAGGATGGCCAGACTTTGTCTCTCATACTTAGAACATATTGTTAGGAGGGAACAGTCCCGGGAGAGACCCCAATGAGATGGATTGGCACCGGTGACAGCAGCAATGGGCTCAAGCATAGCAACCATTGTGAGGTTGGCGCAGGACTGGGCCGTGTTTTGTTCTGTGGTGTATAGGGTTGCTATGAGTTAGTACCGATTCAATGGCACCTAACAACAACAAACATAATATTTATATAATGGCCAGGGCCATAATTAATTAAGGAATAAAAATGAAGAAATTGAGACATATTAATTGAGGAATTGAAATAAAGAAATGAGACACGGGGGAACCTGCGCATGAAGAATTCATTGTCTTTGCAAAGCAACAATGAAATACTTTCTTTTCTTTTTCTTTCTTTCTTTCTTCCTCTCTTTGGAAACAAAGAGTTGTTTTATTTTTTATGCACAGACCCCTAGTTGAATTTTTCTCTTGGTGAAACATTCTCTGAGTTATTCATGATTTTATTAGTATCCCTTTTTACTTTAGATTTTTGACTCTCATACACTTTAGTATATTCTCATTAAAAGTTAGAAGCCACACATTAGCTACATTTTATTCTACTTGTAATCATAGGTAGTTTTAATACTTATATTAACAATGTTCTTAAGACTGCTAGGAGACAGGACTTGTCAATTGAATTACTGCCAGCTTAGGTTTAGTGATTGTAAACATTCTTCCTTGTAGCCTTAGTTTAAGGCAATAAAGAATCCTAAACGTGAATAGACTATAAATAAGTGCTGTGGGTACAAGAATTTCTAAAAATATAATTAGACTATAGATAAGGGTTGTGAGAATCTACAGGTATATAAATAAGAAGTCTGATCAGTAAAATAGGGGAATTGTCTTGATAAATTTCACCTTCCCTGAGAAAGGATGTTTCTGTAGGAGGAAGCTAAAGAAGTGTAAATTGCATCTGACAATTAGGCTTGATGGCTTAAGATTTGACTAACAAAGGTTAAGAAACATGTAAAGGTTAACTTGCTTCTCAGAGAAAAGAACAGATTTATGTAGGAACAAATGTTTCACTAAAAGTTCCAAGGCGCCTGAATGTCTCTTATGCCTTGAGATAATGTCTTTGCTGTGACTTCTCATCCCTGTTGTAAATTTAAAAATTGTAGACCTTAAGGAATGTGCCCCAAGATAGATTGTACCTTGATGTCATAGATTGCTGTGAAAACAATGTTTTTTGTTTCTGTAACGGTATATAAGAAGATGTTAAGAGAAGTAGAGTTAGAGTGATATAGAAGTAGTAATGTTAAAGTATGTAAGAAAAAAACCCATAGACTCTGTGTAATCCGCCGACGTCGCACACGCTTTCGGAAAAACTCTGAAATAAGTTTGCTGGGGCTGGCTCCCGGCAATAGATATGAAGCTGAGTGTCTCCTTTTCCTCTTTACAATATTATGTATAAATATTTTCTCCCAATCTGGGAGAAAATCTTCACTCATGGTGTCCTTAACCCTAGAGAAGTATTTTGATTTTATGTAACTAAATTTGGAAGTCTTTTCTTTTGTGGCATCTAGAGTTTGTGACAGATTTTGAATGTTTTGAGGGTGTGCCACTGTTACCTCTAAATGTTGTGATAAATGCTGTAGCTTTTTCTCACCTTGAAAATTTACTTAAGACCTAAATAAATCAGTGTGAGTCACCTGATTCATGCACGTGCATTCCTACTTCCAGACTTTTTCTTATACCTTGGAGTCCTCCTGGCCGGCCAGCCTGTCCTTGGTACCCAGAACACTTTCCTTATCACCTTTTGGATCTCAGCTCCTAGTCCAGCTGTGGAACCAGGGAGTCGTTTTCAGTCCTCTCTCCACTCCACTCTCCACTGCATCCTTCTATCTTTGGGGGTAGTAGAACCCTTCCATATCTTTGGTGTAGAGGATGGTAGAGCCCTTCCATCTCTCTGGGGTTGGGGTGGTAGAATTATGACTAGGTCTGCAAGATGAAGGCTGAAACGTGCTGCCATGGGTTCTGCTGTGGGATTGGTCTCAATGATGCATCCCTGTAGTCGTTTTGGACTGTAGTCGTTCTGCAGAGAGGACCCTGTGCTCTGGGAAGTGTGGGAAAGATACCCAATGCTGCCCTACTCCCTGGGCCTTCCCTAGGTGCTGGCTGCAGGTGTGGGGATGGCCAGGGATTGGGCTGTGGGCTTTTCAGGATGCTGTGTGGAGCTGGGGGGCCCATGTGTTAGATGAGAGTTGGAGGTTTAGTTGGGACTGAGTCTGGGGCAGTATTGGGGTCTGACTTGGAGATTATTTGGGGCTGGCTGCCTTAAATTGGGATCAGTGACTTGGGCTTCATTTGGAACCCGGGTGAGGAGGGTCTGGTACTGGGTTAAGACTCTCCTGGACTGGTTAGGGTCCCCTTGGTGTTTAGCACATCTTTGGCTCCTGTCTTGGACCTCTGCTCTGTGCTGTAGCTGTTTGACTCGTTAGTGTGGATGACCTTTCGGGTAGGCAGCGGGACTGAGCTGGTCCTTCCTTATCTTTGTTGGCATACCAGATCCACTAGGTGACTTCAGGCCATCCCTGCCCATCTGTTGACACTATTCAGCCATTCAACCAATACTCCTGTTCCTCATTTGTACCAAATCCTGTTGTCAGTGTCCCCATCATTCAGAAGTAGCATGAGGAAGGTGAAAGCTGTGGCCCCTTGCTGGTCATGTGGATGAACTGCCCCTTCAGCTGCCCAGGGTACCACCCTAAGCACTGCCTGGGGCTTCAGGGAGGCAGCTGGGACAGATCTCAGAGATCTACCTATTAAAGTCTCTCATTGCTTCCTCCACCCATAAGGTCCTGGGTTGCTCATAACTGTCTCCAATATTTCCCTGCTCTACACAGACCACCTGGCTTTCTGGGATCACCATAGTTCCAGTGAGGGCTGTGTGGACTTCACCTGCCTCTTCAGATGCCCAGAACTCTACTGGGGTGTCCTGGGGATATGCATGTGTTCCTTCTGCCCCTGTCCCACTGAGCTCTGAGAAGCCAGCAGAGCTGTTTCCCTTAGCACCCCCATCCCTTCCCCACCTGGTGGTCTGGTTTCAGCTGAACATGGGGCCCACTTATTTGAGGGACTGGTTGGGCCGAGTGGGGCACTGGGCCCCAAGACTTCAGAGACCCCCAAGTTATCACGGTCAAGGATAATATCAGGGCAGCCACTAGGGATGGAAGGACGAGGTGGGAGGGTGTTGTGGTCTAGGAGTTATCCTGTCCCACCCTAACCCCAGACAAACAGACTCTAAGCAGTGCTCAGCCTTCTATTGAAGATTCGCCTCCCAGGGCACAAATTCCACTCTGTATGCATCTTCTTGAATACATGCCCAAGGTGGGGAAGGGTGTGTTCTGGTGGCTGGGCAGCATGTAAGGGAGTGGCCCTGGATGAGACTCGTGTTTGTTTGTGACAGAGGCTGGGAGGAAAGGGTGTTCAAGCCCTGCACAGGGACATGCATGAAGTGGTGTCAGATGCCTGGACACAGGACTCCTTCATCCTAGGTTGTAGCCCAAGCTGAGCAAGGCACAGCTGAAGCCTGGACTCCCATGAGGAGCCTTCCCTTGGTGTCTCCAGGTCCTGCCCTTCTGGGATACCCCTGGAAGATAGTCCTTCCATGGCCAGATTAAAAACTCCCTCCCAGATCTCTACGGGCACAGTGGAAACATCTGCTTTAAGCTGACTTTGTGCCCTTGCCTGGCACTGCCTATCTGTTGGCCTGTTTCCTTTGCTGGGAGCTAGGGCCCTAACCCTGTGGGGCCGTGGACAGGAGATGGTACAGGCGAGTGAGTGTGAGGGAGAGGTGACTGGGACAGGGCCTGGGCACAGGGAGGTGGAGGGCGGCCTAGTCGTCCTTGTCCTTGGCACCATGTTTGAGGATGCGGGTGAACTCCACGTAGTTGAAGTTGCCTTTTTTGTCGATGGGTGCCTCGCGGTACATCTCATCTACTTCCTCATCCGTGAACCGGTCACCCATGGTGGTGAGCAGCTCCCGTAGGTGGTCCTCGTGGATGAAACCTGGGGGCAGGACCAGGGCCCATGAAAGCAAGAGCTTGGGTTGGACTGTGCTCAACATCCCCTACCCCTTGGTCTTCCAGCCCCTGTGGTGGGAAAGGGGCTGGGAAAACACCCCCTACCCTGGTCTCTGAGGACATGAGTGGAGGCCTTTCAGGGTCCTTGAGGTGCTTCTGTGGGAAACTTGGGGTCATGAGTGCAGGGGGTGCCAGGCATGTTTTGTTTGAATTTGAAGACTGATTCCACTCCTTCCTAGCTTTGTGACATTAGGCAAGTTAATTCACCTCTCTGTGTCTGTTTTTCTCTATAAAATAAGGAATGAAATGTGCCAACCTGATGCGGGGGGAGGGGGGGAGGGGAGGAGAAGGGGGATGGCTATGAAATTAGTCAGGAACATGTTCTTAACTTGCTTGTGAACCCCAAGAAATGTCATTGCTGCTGCCACTGGCTGAGTCCTGGAGGATCTAAAAATGAAGGCTGGTTTCTGTACATTGTTGGCAAAAAGAGCATGAGACAGTTTGATTTGCTGAAAGGCCTAAGGTACAGGGAGGGGGAGAGTGGTGAGCCAACAGATGAAGTCAGGAGTGGGCAGGTTTGGTGGCAGAAACTGGGAGGGGCTGTTGGGTCTAGTATTTCAGAGAGAGGGCAAGGGGACTTTTATAGTGACAGAGTAGGGGTGGTGGTTTGTGTTCTGGTCTTAGGTGGTAGAGGCCCCTCCATCTCTGTAGGGTGCTCTCAGCCTCAGCCTGCCCAGGTCTCAAGCGTGTGCTTACCTGAGGCCTCCTCATCGAAGCAGGCAAAGGCGTTGCGGATCACGTCCTCAGGGTCGGTGCCATTCAGCTTCTCCCCAAACATGGTGAGGAACATGGTGAAGTTGATGGGCCCTGGGGCCTCACTCATCATGCCCTCTAGGTACTCATCTGTCGGGTTCTTCCCTGTAAAGGTGGGGCATACCTGTCTGCGGTCACAGGGCCACAGCTGCTGCCTTGTGACCCACAGCAATAGTTCAGTGTTTCAAACTGTAAAGCAGTGAGCCTGGGCAGCCAGTTTCCTGACTCTCTCACTCCGCTCTGGCCTCTGGGGTTCTCAAAGCACAGGGTTAATGCCACCCTGTGCCACCCCCTGGCTGCCTTAACCAGTTTCTTCTTCTGATCAGCAGTGCTCTCTGAAGTCTCAGAGTGACTGGCGCTCCTCGGGCCTCACTGCGTTTCACTCTTAATGCCCTGTGAGCTTGGCACTTCTGCCCCGCCTCACAGACATGGAACCTGGGGCTCAGAGGGTTGAGGTCACTCGTCCACGGTCACCCCGTGGATGCAGAATGGAGCCTGAGTGTGAACCCAGGCAGCCTGACCTCAGATTCTAGGCATAATTTCCAAAATGATTAAACCAGTGAGCTTTGCTATTGCCCAGGCCCCTGTCTCTTAGGAGAATCATGGAGAGAAATAAGAGAATGAGGATTATGAAACAGCAATGATTGGCTCAGGCTGTGGGCCCTGGAATCAACTGCTAGGGTCTCATACCCCTACTTTACCACTTAGCTATGTGTCCTTGCACACACAACTTAACCTCCTTGACTCTGTCTCCTCATTTATAAAATGGGAATGATAGTCTCATCTGTCCAATAAGATTGTTTTGAGATTTAGGACAATACCTATAGAGCTTATTATTATTAGGATTTTAATTGTTTTTGCCTTTTTTCTTATCTTGAAGATGAGGTTATCCTGAAGGCCATGAATAATCTGGGGACCTACTGACACAGATAAATGCTTTTCTGGGTAGATGCCCAGGGCTGTCCACAAGTCACAGGAGTTTGGGGCCCAGGGGCTGGATGCCTCGCTGTGAGAAGGAGTGCATGTCCCTGTCTCCCCTGAGACCATGAGGCCCCACCATGTTCCCATGTAATGGCAGGGAAGCTGAGGGCCGACAGAGGGGTGACTTTAGACCCAGAGTTGGAGGAACAGAGAGCCATTGTGCTTATTGGGCACTTAGGGCCAGTCCCTCCCACTCTGTCCTCTTCATCTGTGAAGCTGGAAGGGGCTTGGATGAGAGGCTTGGAATTTATTGTCTCCTGTGGCCTCTGCAGGGGAGGGAACCTTCTAGAGAGCCTGGTCTGAAGATGGGAAAGAAGTTGTGTCCAGGGTGGGGCCAGTGTCCACATGGCAGCCCTCCCCCTCAGGACTGTCCAGTCCTCTCCCCAGATACTCTGAGAGGAAAGTGGGCACAGTTAGTGAGAAGCAGGGCAGGGACCAGTCCAGAGCTGTCTGGGCTCCAAAGCCTATGGCATGGCTGCCTCTCCTGCTACCTGCATCTGGTCCAGGAACTGGGCAGAGGGAAACTGACTGGGCAGTATGTAGGGAGACATGTGGGGGCAGGGCCACAGGCTGCGGGTACTATCAGGAACCGGGCCTCTGGGCTTCAGTTTCCCCAGCTGAGCAATGAGGACTGGGACTTGATTCCTGAACTCCTCAGCTCTAAGATTTTGATTCCTGGGGGAATCACTGAGAGGCTCTGAAAGGCTGGGACAGGTACCCATTGACGGAGGAGAGGATAGCTGTGGCCTCGCCTCTAGACCTGTTTCCTATCTGTACCATGGAAAATTGGACCAGGTCTGTGCAGTTCAAAATGTCTGTACATGAAATTCTGCCAGGTGGCCCAATCCTGAAATCTTCCAGGAGTTCTGCTCTGGAGTCTTGAGTTCCAATCCAGCCACTAGACCTGAGGCAGAACTGCTTTTGGCCTCATTTCTAGGACAGGCACCATGTGTGCCACCTATACAGTCAGAGCTCTGTAGGCCAAGAGCAGACTCAGCGCTGGCACCCCGGCCCCTGCACCGGCCTCCAGCCCCCCACCCTGCTCACCCAGTGAGGCCAGCATGTCGTGTAGGTCCTCCTTGTCAATGAAGCCATCACGGTTCTGGTCGATCATGTTGAAAGCCTCCTTAAACTCCTGAATCTGGGACTGGTCAAACATGGCGAAGACATTGGAAGTGGCCCTTTGCGGCCGCTTCTTGGTGGTCTTGGCCTTGGCCCGTTTGCTGGACATCTTGGCTTTGGGCGGGTGGGACTGAACTGCAAGAAGGGCTGGGAGCGAAGGGGCAAGGGTTTGACAATGAACCTTCCTCCCTTCCCTAGACCACCTCCTGGATCCTGCCACAGGTTTCTGCTAGCCAGCTCTTTGCAGAAGTAGAAAGGCCTGGACTGTGTAACCCTGGACAATTCTCTATATCCCTGTAAGTCTGCATTTGTCCATCTTGGAACAGGGATCGGAGGAGTGCCTGAAAACCAGCTGGCACAGTGCCTGAGGTAAAACCCCCTAGGTTTGGGCCCATGCCAGTCATTTGTGTGCCTGAACTCTCAGAGTCCTTGTCATTAGCATTTCTACTGTCCATCTCCACCCCCCACCCCCACCCCAGGGGATAAAATAGCTATGCACATGGCAGGCAGTGAGGGCCACACTGTCCCCATGAAAAGAGCTGGATCAGCCATCCTCCCTCACACATTCCTGACATTCCTCCTCCTTCATCATCCCTCAGCAGTCCCTTTTCCCAAACTTGTGGGAGGCTCAGCTCTGGGCACTCCCCCCCACCCCCACACATATCAGTTTGACCAGCTCCCCCAGACCACCACCACAAAAAAAAAAGAAAGAAAGAAACAAAGCCAGTCCCAGCTCCCAGTGACCCTTCAGGAAGGGCAGAGCAGGGTTTCCAGAGCTATAAACCAGATATAAAGCAGATGCTTCATCTTTCTCCTGTGAGCAGCTAGTGGGTTCCCACCGCTTACCTTTCTGTTAGCAGCCCAATGCTTAGCCCTCTGTGTCACCAGAGTTTCTTTGACCAGCCCCCTGAAGGTGACAGATCTGGTTTTGGGCCTTACTTCTTGCTCCCCAGTGCTGCACATTCCCCATATAGTTGCGTGAGCACTCGGCTCAGGCTCTGTCACTCTTATTCAAACCTGGCCTCTTAGCCTCCAGTCAGCGCCCCCATGGGAAGCAGACCCAAACCTGATCCGTCATTTTAAAGCACTTTGGTTCCCACAGTCCACGACAGAAGCCCCTCATCCTGATAGTCAAGACTCTGTGTGAACCCCACTTGCCCCCATCTTTGACCATGACACCCAGCTTCCTTTTGGCCTGAGGTTCCTCCAAGCTGGACCTCTGGCTTTCCTTCTTGGTCCCTCCCCTTGGAATGCCCTACCCTCTCCAGACCAGTTGAGACACTCCCTCCGGAAGCTGGCCCCAGCTTTCTGCTTTGACTGCTAGAGCAAACTTTTCAAAGCCTGTCTGTCTGTCCTGATCAGGGGAGTTCAGATCTGGGGATGTACTCAGCCCACAGCGGGGCTAGTAGATGGTGACTTACTGAATTAACTGTGATGCCAACCTCACCAGTCCTGCTGCTCTCTGTGCAGGTAGGAAATGGACGTTTAGCAAGAACTCTTTCCCCAAATTCTTAAACCTTTGTCACAGCTCATGAGGACTGTGTCCCTGAGGTCATAAGACTATTTGCTTCCTGACTGGGGCAGTTGTGGGTCTGATGAGGCCCCAGCACTGCTGCCACTGCTTTCCTTTGTCCTGAGCTCCTTGGTCCAGGGCTTCCAGAAAGCTACAGATGCTTGTACCGCCTGCCTGTTTTTCACTCCGAATGCATGGCTCTAAGGGCTTTCACCACCCACCCCGGCTGCTTTCAGGCCTTTTCCCACAACCCTGTTCAGGTCATTCTTGGTCTTAGGCCTTGGAGGTCTTCCAGTGCTGAGCCAGGGATCTGGCTGGCCACCAGCCTCTCCCTAGGTCATATAGCTTGTAGCCATGAGACTGACTGCCTGGGTCCCACTGGACCAACTTAGTAGCCCTTGGCCATATCTCACGGTTGAGGTTGGTCCATGACTTGTGTGGAGGTAGGGTGGCACCTAGGGTAGGCCTGCTTCGTCTTTCCTGTGGTTTAGTGCTTTGAGGAGTCCAATCCCTCTAAGCCCCCAGGTTTTCTGGGAACTCTGACTCATGGCACCCACAGCAGGCTCTGAGGAGAAATTCACTGTGCCTAGCCTGGTGTGGTGCTGTGGGTCAGTGCACTGGACTGCAAGGTCGTTTGGACTGCAAAGTCGGTTGTTCAGGCTCACCAGGTGCTCCTTGACAAACCCTATAAAGGGTCGCTATGGGTCGGAATTGACTCAATGGTACTCAACAGCAACAAGCAGAGGCCTGTGATGATCTAGCTGTCAATGCTCTGGGGCAGGAGTGACCAGGAGAAGAGAGGATACTAAGGCTTGGGAGAATGGCTAACAGCTGGCCCTCTGCCTCCATGGCCACCCCACCCAGCCACCCTCTTCTATTGAGCTTCCATGACATGGCTGAGAGCACTGTGCTTTAGTCTGCACACTGCTGCTGTCTGCATCTCTGCAATCTCTGGATGTAAGTAGCCTGTGGGTGTCCCCACTCAGCAGATAGAAAAACTGAGGCTCAAGAAAGGAAAATGGCCTGCTCAGTGAGAAGGGTACAGTCCAGGTGGACACCAGGACCTCTGAAGCCTGGGAGCTTACCACCAGCCTGGACTTGCATGAATAGATGGTAAACCCAGTTGAAGGTTTGCCCTAACTGGCTCATGGGGAGTCTCAAGGGAGCCACGGGGCTGAGGACTAACCAGAGGCAGTGTCTACACTTGGCTGGGGCACTGGGATCAGGGAGGAGTCAGATCTCTTCTCCCTCTGGGACAGAGCTAATTTCAGGGGTCCAAAACACCAGCGACAAGACATAGCTGGTGACTAGTCTGGTGGCTGTATTTTGATGTCACCTGCCCCTTTCTGGTGCTGGAACTCCCACCATAATAGTAAAGACCTGGTGGAGAACAACCTCCCTCCCCCGTGAAGTCCCATGGCTAGGCAATGCCAGCTGCCTTGTTGGCTTATGAACTCACCTCTTTGGGGCCTCTTTCCTGAGGGCACTTAGAGCGCTGAGCAGGGGCAGGAACAGGGACTGGCACTGAGTTCGAAGGGCCCTTGACAGACTTCCCCACCCCACACCTATAACTTTAATGTGTGCCTGTATGTGGGGTTCCCTAGTCTCTACCCCTCTCTCCTGCTCCAGATTGTGGGGAGATGGAGCACTGGAAGTGGGAGGGTCTCAAGGATCCCAACCAGCAACTGGGTTGTTTCCTCCTGTGACACATACCCGTCCACTGAGGCGGAGAGTGTTGGCGATCTCAAGTTACCCCCCTTATCCCGGAAGTCTCCAACTCTACACCAAACTGTAGAGCCTGGACAACTGTCTTCCCTTGCCAGAGAAGCATCGGTTCCCCAAAGCTGGGAACAGTCTCACTGCTGCCCAGTCCCAGTCCAGGATCCCTGTTGGACGGAGCAACCTTGCAGTCCCAGCCCCAGAAGTGCTATCTGTGCCCAGAGGACCCTCCGCTAACTCCGTCCCGCCCCATCCACGACCAGAAACCCGATCGTGACCCCAGCGCTCAGAGCCCCCTCATCGCGGACGCAAGCCGGTTCCCACCTGGTGCGGAGAAGGAAGGCGCTCTGTGCGTGGCGTAGCCAGCGGGCGGGCGTCGAGTCTGGGCGCTGCTCCGGGGGTGGGGTGGGGCGGGGTCGGGCGGCCGGGCCTTACAAGGCAGAAGAATGTGCAAGCGGCAGGCGGGGCGGGGCTGGAACCGTGTCAGTCCACTGGGCCTTATTTGGCTTCAACCCACGAGCTGGGAGGCGTGGATGAACCCCTCTCATTGCCATCCCCAGGGGGCGAAGGGGCCTCTTTTCCTTTTCCCCTCTGACCGCCTCTTGTAGGGAGGGGGAGCGGATGGAGATGAGGAGGCAGACTGTTGGGAATCCTGATGGGCCAGGGAGGGAGCGAGTGGTATCCTCGAGGCCAGCTGAGTGTCCAGGGACCTTTAGTTTTCACCCTCCTCTCCCAACTCCTCTACAGGCCCTGCAGCCCAGGGCTCCTGTCCCCCGCTTCTGTGGGAGGGCTTCCTTCCACCAGAACTGCACTAAAGCCAAGTGTGTGCTTTTTCCAGTCTGAGAGAGAATAGGCAGATCAGAGAGGACCAGCTCTCCTCACGAAAAGGGCCATTCGCCAGGCCCTTGGGGCCACCCCTGGATAGCCTGCTCCCATCTCCAGTGGTTTTCAGTTTTCTCATCTGTAAAGTGGGCAGGTAGTGGTGAAATGTAACTGTGAGCATCAGTAAAACACAGCCACAGAAGGGGTCACAGGCCGAATCCTCACGGTGGTGTAAGGTAGCACCATACCCTATTTTAATGACCTGAGACAGTGCTGGCAGGACAGACAGGGCACATGGGACACCTGGCCCTGCCCACTGTTTTGATCCCTGAAGAAACACCATACTCATCAGCCCTAGCCCACATTTCTCTCCATCAGCCCTGGTCCAGCTTTCTCTCCTAGTCTCCTGAGTTGCATCATGGATGTACCCAAGGAACTTGCCAGCACCCAATTATTCTGTAAATATTAATTGAGCACCTATGCTACCCGCCAGACATTGTGCTGCGTGTTGAACTGACGACCTTTTCTTTATGAAGCTTTCTTTGTGGAGGAAGATCCAATTAACAAGTAGTTACATGACATGACTGGGATCTTGCATGCTTTGAAAGGAGAATAAAGCAGGGTGTGTGTGTGGGATGTTGGTGGAGGACAAAAGGGTGTGTGCCTGATTCAGGGAGATAGAGAAAGCCCCTGAGGAAGTGACATTTGAGCTATCTAGAAAGAGGTGAAGGAGCAGAGGAAGACTACTGTGAACAGTGAACCTCAGAGGCAGAAGTCCTGGAGTGGGAGCCTTTGGCTAGAGTTCCAGGACCTGAGGGAGTGAGGTGTGAAGGTTGGTAACTAAGGTCTGAGAGGCAGCAGGGACCTATAGAGCTCCCCCTGCAGGCTGGTGAGAATACATATGTGAGTTCTAAGCAGAAGGTGACATCATCTGACTTACGTTTTAATGGAATCCTGCTGGGTGCCCTGTGGAAAATAGACTGAAGAAGCCAAGGTGGAAGCAGGGAGATCAGCCAGGAGCTGTTTGGCTAGAGATGGTGTTGCTCAGAATAGTG